ATGGCAATATTTAAAACCCCCAAAACTTTACAAAAAATGATCACAGGTGAATTATCGTTTCAAGTTTAAGCTCAGGACAACAACACCTTTTGAATGATACCAAAAAAAACTATCAAAAATGGCTAGTTAAAAAGTCAAAATTAGTCTGAAGAAAAAAACCACCCCGAGCACAAACATTTCGTCGTTGTCGTGGAAACGTTAAGTCGCCTTAAGTCGGAACCTTAAGTCAGAACAATTAGCAACATTAATTCTCGTGAGTAACCAAAAAAATTAGTTGCATCAAACGGCAAATTCGGAATTAAAGAACAAGACTTAAACATTGCCAGCAAGTTTCAATAAAAAATTTTAAAGTTTCCTCAAAGGAAATCGATGATGTACGTACCCCTTTAACCAACTAAATATGCTTTGAGTCGAAATATTTTTAAGACTGATGTGCTTTTCGCAGAAAGTTGTAGCGATTGCATTACTTGAAAAGAGTTGTTTCTTGAACCTCCTTAAATTGAGAGAATTCCGTCTCACCAAGTTTGTTCGTAAAGTTCCTTCAATTGAAGAAAACTTAGGCCCCTGGTTCTATCCTGTGTCGCGGCACCAAAATATGCTGCCTCACGCTGTGTCGGGTTGATATGAAACTAGGCTTCAGAAGTATATTTGACAATCAATATATCGGGTAATTTTTGTTTCCGAATTAACAATTAACAGTAAACAATCACAATTTTTGCATTTTTGGTATAATTTGAATAGAAGCGGAGCAATAAGCAGAATATTCCAAGTGCAGAATGCGTCCAAGAGCAGAAAAACAAAAAAAATATTGACATATATTGGTTTATACGGGCTAATTGATAAAACATTTATTGGAATCGTTAAAAATACAAAGAAAACGAATAAATTATGCATAAATTGACTAACTTCTTAAGTTTTTTTATTAAATTTTTTTTATAAATTTTTCGATTAAATTGCTCAAATTATGCATAAAATGTTCGTTGCTTTGCTATTATTGACCTTTCTGATAATTATTTTAGGGATTAGCTGATAGAAGTTGATATTTTTCTCTTTTTCTGCTCTTGGAACATTCTGCTTATTGACTGGCCACCGATTTGAATCTATAACTTCAATAATGCAACAGCGTTTTTACAGCACCGAAATCAAGCGTACGAGTGTGTTCCCCTTTTGGCAAAACACGGCTTTATTGACAGACGGAAACCTGTCAATCAAGGTCAGCCAAGGCCGTTTTGTGAACTAGTTTGTTAAGAACTTGTCTGGATTGCAATATGCTTTGAGTCGAAAGCTGAGTAAAGAAAAACTGAGTAATAACTTTTGGTAAATGGTCTGCACCTTTACAACATCGACGTGTGGGATATCATTGGCCTCAAAGCCAAACTCCTCAAACTGATGTGGCATCATGTAGAACACACCTACAACGAATACAACAAGTGCACTTGGAGGCTCTTCTGCCTCTGTTCGAAATGCAGAGCAACTGGTCGACTTTAAACGGAATTTTCTTTTCCTTTATTGTTTTTACAATGTAAAGTTTTCATAATAATAATCATAATGAAAAAAATATTTTTAAGACTGAAGTGCTTTTCGCAGAATTTGTAGCTACCAATTACACAAGAGTAACACCGACTAGGAATTAGGATAAGTCGGAATGATACAAATCGGCGTCTACGATGAGTCGGATTAAAACGATCCGCATTGAGATAAATACCAGAACTCAGCGTATGAAAAAAAAACGCCAATTAATCTCAGCATTTGTTAATCTTGATCTCAACTATTAGTCCTTACTTGAGATATGTAATTCAAAAAACAAACATAATCAAATCTGAATTTAAATGATAAAATTTGAAATCAAATGTTGGAACAGAAATAAATTACCACATTTTGATAATTGTGTATAGCTTGTTTTCGTAGTTTTCGTTTTAGTTTTTTCCTTCTTATTGTTTTTTGGTCAATACCACTGTTTCCCCAATTTTCGAGCGCATTGAGCCCTAACCTGTTAGTTAATGGATACCAACCGTGATAGCCCATGTAATCTCCCTTGAGTATATATTGTAATGTTACAGAAAACCGCTTGAGATGCAGATTCCGACTACACCATAAGCTAATTTTAATTCTGCTTTAGCAATTGTTGTTTCGATTTTCGTAACGAAAGTGACAAAATATTTGAGCTCGGGGTGGTTTTTTTCAGACAAATTTCGACTTGTTAACTGGACGTTTTCGCCAAAAAATTTTTTATCATTCAAAATGGTTTGTTGCCCTGCGCCCCGAGCTTAATTTTTGAAAAAATTTTCCATGTGATTCATTTTTGTAAAGTTATGAGGGTTTGAAATTTGCCATTTTGGCTAATTTGGAGCAATTAACGCGCTATTAACGTGTAAGCGGAGATTTAACACTTCTTAGAAATAACAATATTATTATTAACAAGACTGCTCGTATCAGGGCAAATCCCTGAACAATCCGACTGCCTTTTAAGGTCTATGGAAAATTTAAATGTAGAAGCATGAAAAATTTAAATGTAGTTAAAATTTTTTTTTTACATTGAGACTTTTTGTAGTGAAATATCTGCCACACGCCATAAAAATTTTTGCTCCTATTAACAATTCAATTATGGCATATAAGCTTCCTTGAACTAATGTGGAACGATTTCTACGACTGATTAAATCACTGCTTACGCGTTAACAGCCCGAAATATATCGCGCGTTAATTGCCTCAAATTGGCCAAAATGGCAATCTTCAAACCACCATATATTTACAAAAATTGATCACAAGTAAAAAGTTTTTTAAAATTTTAGCTCAGGACAACAATAGCTTTCGAATGATGTAAAACAATTCTGTTAAAATGGCTAGTTAAAAAGTCTGAGAAAAAAAACCCACCACGGGCGCAAATATTCGGCAACTTTCGTTTCGAAAATGAGAATAATAGTAATGTAGTTCCTGCTGCAAATCGCAGAGGAGCTATCAGTAGGCCTTAAAATTCATGTCCACTTGTGTTATCTCCCCACATTCTAGACTTAATTTGTTGAGCGAAGCTTTTTTCGCGTTTCAAGGACGTTCTTTTTTGCGTCTAGAAGTTTCACATGGTACTATTGCAGCCGAAATTGGTCAAACTGTGGTAGACTTGAAGCTAGAGGTCATGTGAGAGCTCGTCCTTACACACTATCATTGTCATGGCATGCGCTCGAATACACGACCTGACGATTTTAAAGTGAACGCCTTACCACTATGCTAAGTGCCTCCTCGTTCCAAATTGAAATCGTTCTAAATCATTTAAGAAAGTTTATTTGCCATAATTAATCGTTACTAATAGCGAAATTTATCACTTTTTACTTTATATGGCGTTCGGGGCGATGATTTTCACAAAAATCTCAAAATTCATTTTTTTAATACATTTAGTTTTTTCATGTTTTTACAATTTTATAGACCTTAAAACGCAGTTGGAATTTTCAGGGCTTCGCCCTCATACGAGCAGTCCTGTTTGTTATTTGTTGTTGGATTCCGCATACTGTTCTGATTTCCGCAAATTTTGCTGTTCGAGCTAGCATTTTGAGCAGTATAACTTCTACACATGTCTTCAAAATCCACAAGTGAAACTATTTTTGAAAAACTGCCTTTACCACAAAAATTTGTCGCATTGTTCCGGAATAAAACGAAGATACACAGTTTGATTATTCATGACTATGAATTTTTAAGTTACTAGACTGGGGGCCACAATGGAAAGAAACCCAAAAATTTCCTACTTTTGTAATAGAAATTAGTTAAAAATATATAATTATTTATCCGCCAAGAAGAGACGAAAAAACTTAGTATTACTTGTTTTTTTTACATCACAATTTTTTAGGAAAGATATGTGAACTCAACTAAAATTCAAGTGGATTTCAGGTCTTCATCATTGTTACTGCAGTCAAGATTCCATTTTTTGTCTCGAGAAAAACAGGGCGTGCATTTTTGCGATTTAGTGAGAGTAAATGCAAAAAGCAGAGTACGAAAACAGCAACAAGAAAAGAATTCAGCAAAAAAAGTGTTTTGCTTTAAAAAGAAACTAGTTTATGAGGTTTCTATAAGCGCTATCTTAGGACCAAAAGTTCGAAAAAGTATAATAAAAACTCTGATTTTTTGGGGGTAACATTCAATTTACACATCGAAAGAACTAATACTACATTGAGTATCATCTTTTATTGAAGTAATGGTGAAAGCATTTTATGGTGAAGGCATTTTAAAAACTCTTGAAAGTTTGTTTTAGGAAAAACATCAATTTAATGAAAACTCAACAATAGCAAGTTTTTACATCTGGCAACAATGGTTGCTTGAACCTCAAATTAACCCCATAACTTTTTATAGAGAATACATCAAATGTTTTAAATTCTTATGGTGAAGGCATTTCAAAAACTCTTGAAAGTTTTTTTTAGGAAAAACATCAATTTAATGAAAACTCAACAATAGCAAGTTTTTACATCTGGCAACAATGGTTGCTTGAACCTCAAATTAACCCCATAACTTTTTATAGAGAATACATCAAATGTTTTAAATTCTACAGGGTTAATTTTAAAGTAGAATTGTTATAATCAAGTTGAGTTTCTTTCTCGACTTTCTTTCCTATTTTTGTATCAAGAAAAGCCGGTTCAGCACGGTTTTGCTATTCAGTCCAATTTAGAGCAATAAAACAGAGTAAGCAAGAGCCAATAGAACAAAAACTTTCAATTTAACTGAAAATAGTTTGTGGCTGCAAAAATTAGTTTATGGTCCTCAGTAAGCTCTTTTTCAGGACCAAAGATTCGATAAAAAGAATGAATCTGATTTCGGGGGATTATTTTTATAGTTTTGTATTTATCTCCGTTTTCCTATCGGAAGACTTATTTTTCATAAAATTTCATCAATTAAACCGAGAACCTTTTCAGTCACCAGAATTGTTGATTATAAACCTTATATGTCAGAGTTTTTTAAACCATTGAAATTTTTTGGAATAATAGCAATTTCCAAATAAGTTTTTTAATTGAGAGTCAGAACAAAACAAAAAAATTTGATTAATGGTTTTCTAGTACAACCCACTAATTTCAACCCACATTATAATGGCTTTAAAGAAAAATTGCAGTTAACTCATATGGTGCAATATTCATTAAACACATATATGATACACACCCCATACTCGAAACAAACTCTGGTCATGATTACATATGGCAACAGTAGTTGCTTGAACATCAAATTAATCTTATATATTTTTTAGAGTATACATCAAGCTCAGATTATATCCGGGTAAGTTAAACCAGAAGCGTGATTATAAGATTCAAGTCGAGTTTCTTTTCGACTTTCAGGCCCAAACTCTTTTTAACAATTGCTAGACACCAACGTCTTCAGCATTGTGTAGCTTCTGGTACGGAGGAAGACCATCTGACAAAATTCCTGGCACTACTGTCGATGTTCCCTGCAAGGCGACTCCAGCTGTGGATCCATCTTGTCTCATGACAATTATCTCTGCATTTTTTTGTCTTCTCTTACTGCACATGCGACAGCAGCAGACACAGCAGAGACAGAAACTCACCATCGCCAGGAAGATGCTGAGAAAATTAACACGTTATGGGAGCGGTACACCAAAATGGTCCAAATCAAAATACCGGAAGTCAGTAAGAAAATTAAGGTATCGCAATTGAACAGTAGGCTACATTTAGGCAGTTAAAATGTAGTCCCTATAAAAATATTTACGAATTCGCAGATGGTGTGACAATCGAATTCAATGCAATTGGTAGAATCTCTCAAGCCCCATTGACCGAATGCGGAAAAATTTTGTCTACCAACAAAACTCAGAAATCAACTTGAATACTGAGCTTTGATGATTGACAAAATTTTGACGCATTCCGTCCTTGGGGCTTGAGAGAATCTCCCAATTGCATTGAATTCGATGGTCACACCATAGCCTTTGTTCAAAACTGTTCAAAATTGAATGAACTGATTGCGTCTTTTTTTCGAAATTTTGAAAATTTCGAAAAAAATATGCAATCACTTTAGTCAGCTTTGCGCAATTTAAAGGGCGTTGAAGGGCTGAGAATTTTCGCTCATTCAAAACTTCCTCTCATTCGGTCCCTCAGGCGAGACAGGGCCCCGAATCCTATATAAACGATATTAAGGCAATTTTCTAGTTGTTTAAGTATTTGATTTCACTTAATTTCCTAGAAAACAAACAATCTGTTTAATTGAGGGCCCATACAAGGCTAAATGCATAAAAATTAAAGGATTATTCGATATGGCCAAGATATTTACATCCTTTGTTTGAGATCCATGTAATCTCAGCTGGGCTTTTAATTAAACATTCTTGTTTTCTAGGAAATAGAATGAAACCAAATATTTAAATACTTTTATATATTTATAGTGGTGCAGGAGAATTGCTTAGATCTGGAATTGCATTGGATTCACTTCGTATGCATACCGCATGCTTTCTCTTATCATAGCAATAAGAGTACATCGAACCTGAAAATGGCGGGTCCCCCGAAGGAATAACTCAGCATACAGTAGTTCTCCTCCAAATACTTCCCAAATGGGCAACACATGTTCTCCAATGGACAACAGTAGTCCCCACCCGCATTGTCATCCACCATTTTGAGAAGCGCCCCTCCAATAGTAGGACAATCGTCGTTAGATTGGCATGTGACCAAATGGCCGCCCAGTGAGAGTTTTTCTACCACTAAAGACAGAAAATTTGAGAAAGTTGGAGTCGAACTTTTTCAAACTTTTTCGAAATTTTCTTGCGGATTCTTGCGGAAAAATTAATTTCTTAAAAAAGCACAAAAAACCTGAGAAAACAATGTTATCGTATCTTAAAGTCTGACAGCAAAACTGCTGTTTTTTAGGGTAGTGCGACAAATCGTAACAAACGACAATTCGTAACAAACGACAATTCGTAACAAGGCATTGACAAGTAGAATACGCTTACTCCGCTTCGCTCCGCTACGCATATATCCGGCTCGAGAAGAATAGTGTGCGTGAATCAGTCTTAACCGCTTAATCTACTGTTACGAGTTGTCGCTTGTTACGAAATGTCGCTTCACGGTTTTATTGAACCGAGTAGCAGAGTATATTTACCGTAAATCAACTCAAGTTTCGATAAACAAATTCACGGATTAAGAGTTATATTCGCTTAATAATACAACCTGGTAGGGAAGTTAAAAACGAGGATGCCCAGGTGCTGGGCAAGTAACAAGGAGTCGCCACATCAAAGTTAGTATTACCAAAAACAAAATTTAAAAAATCAAATGTGTCCCCTTTTATTAGTTTGTTATTAGCTTCGCGGTTATTGATATTATTTTTTTTGCATGTACTTGATCTTCCTAATTTAAAAAAAATGCACGGTACTCGTTATGAAGTATGGTCTCACTGTTTTTGACGAGTCCCAAGTTTACAAGTGTGGTCCAGCCAGACCGCTTGAAATATACTTAGAGTACTAAACGTGGATGAAAACAAAACGAAAACTTGTACACATTTCTTTGTTAGATTTGCCACTAAAGTTCTCTTTGAAATTATCAAAAAGATCAATCCACTGGCAAAACTTAGGAACTACCTTTAAAAAAATTTTTCTGACTTTCCGATGGGACCATTGGTGGTTCTATGGGACCATACTACGAAATGAGATTTAAAACGGGACCGTACTTCTAAACAAGTACCAAAGACACCAATTAGACCAGCAATTCTTTTACATTGAAAAAAGTATTTCATGTTGGTTTACCACAGAAATTCGGATTGCTCATTTTTTTTCCTCATTGTATCAAATCTGCTCATTGTATCAAATCAATCGAAAGTCTCAACATTGTGCAAAATTTTTTTTAAAGATTCGAAAAATTTTACACATTCTCACCAGAAGCAGCCCACATGACCTTCTGAACGGCATAGAGGGAAGGGTCACAACAGAAGGGAAGTCCCATCACCCCACTGCAGCACTCTACCCCCTCCGCACAATTCACACAGAAAAAGGTCCCATCCTCAACAAAATCCTGATCCTCTCCATCTGCCCCAAAGCTGTAACAAATTGGAAACAAATTTGGTCTATAACAGTTTTGGTCTACATTAGAAGTAGAACTGGAGCTCCAATGAAGACCGTCATAATTCCTACACATGAAACTTTCTTAACGACATCCTTTTTGCTGAGAAACTCTAGAGTTTGGCTCTTTTTCCTCCTCCTCCTGTGTAGTTTTTGCTTTGGTTCGCAAGGTCCAATTTTATTGAACAATGGATGCTGACAAACGGGTCTTATGCACTAAACGGTCCAAAATCAAGTTTTATATATCTTAAGCTGAAATATACGCGATCGAATCTGATTGGCTAATTTTAACCAATCAAACTCAAGCAACGCGGTCAGGCATTTCGATCAATTCCGCAGACAAAAATAATAGCCGAAATTACCGAAAAGAGAAACTTTGTAAAACAATCAAATTATTTTTGAGTCACCGGTAAATCTTTGCACACACAAAAAATATAAGTAAACTGGCATGGCAAAGCCAAAATTTTACTGTTTATCATTTCGGCTAAAAAAAATTTCTGCTTGAAATTTTCCTTGAAATGCCGGAGTTTATTAGCCAATCAGAATGAACCACATTAGTTTCAGTTCAAGAGATGTGTAAAAATTGATTTTGGGCCGTTTAGTGCATAAGACTCATCTAACCATATGTAGTCTTCTTCTCCAATATGGAGAAAACACTTGGTTTCAAATTGTTGTTGCTGGTGCGAGGAGAGAGAAACAGAGCCTAGAGTTTGTCTAAGATAACCTTAAGCTATTCTCAGTTTGATTGGGAGAGCGTGAGTAAAATACTTTCAGAAAGCACCAAGAAAGAGCGCTTTCGGCACATTTCCTCATATTTGTAATAGCAAAAAAGAGTCTGCATTGGCTCAAGATAAGTAGGAAAATTACTTAATGGGAATTCGAAACAAAAGATGTAGTTATAGGCAGGGGACTTTTCAAGTGCAAGCATTTGTGGCCGAAAGATCTTTGTATTTTTCCTTCAGCTCCAACGCCAATATCGAATATCTTTGAGGAAAGAGTGCTGGTCAAAAATGAGCAATTATTTGACCAAACGTTGCAATGTGCATAAATAGAGGACTCGCAAAAAATCACCAATGTCCTGAAATTTATTTTCCAAGCTTTCCAAAATTACTATAATGGTTCTAATTTGACAAAAACTTTCTGCACCACAGGCGAACTTTCGTAGAAAAAATTTTTTTTTCGACGCGCGCTCACCACAAATTTAGTGTCTATTTTGATGCTTTTTAGGTAAATAATGGTGCTTTTCAATATATATATATATATGAAGCAAATTAAGTATTTTTGAAATTTATTGAACCCTAATTATTTATCAGGTTTGAATTTTTGTCAAAAAAGTTCAACTATTATACCTTGCAATGATCAACAAAAAAAGCGTTTACAAAACATCCGTGTACAGTGTAAATCACCGGTCACTTAAGTTTGTTGAAATTTACTCGTCAAAAAAAATATTTCAAAACCAATTTAAAAGGCCTTCAACAAAGAGTACCTTCTTGATGTCTTAAATCTACTAAATTATTTTGCACACCAAGTTATAAGGATACTCTTTGCTACCCGTTTCCTTTGAATTCGTTTGGTTGTCTGAAACTGCTACTGGCTTCAAGGGAGAAGATGAAACAAATAGTAAAGCATATTGAATGCTCATTACTTGCTACTTTCCACCATCAAAAAAAGTGCAAAAATGAGTCCAAATTTGCATTCGTTACCAATTTACATCTCTTTTTTTGAAAGGAAGGGAACCCAAAAAAGCAATTTTTGGTCTAAATGATAATAAATAGCATCGATATCCTAAAAAATGTTGCTGAATGCATTATTGGCCAATATAGTCATTCTAATCCCTAGTTTATCAAAGAGTGTTATCTTACAAGATTCTTGTAAGATCTTACAAATTAACCTCCTTTCTACATAGTTTATTGTCTAGCAAAATCTCTAAAAATTTGAGAATATGTATGTTAAATTAGTTTTATGCGCAAAGATTACCTACAGCATTCGTGGAAGAAAGAAACATTATCAGTAAACTTAATCTATTTATAAAAACCCATAAAAGAAAATAAAAGTATCTATGTGACTGCAAGAAACAAAATATCTCAAACTAATTGATACAATTGATCAAAATTATGGTTTAAATAAACAAAAATTACTTTTTATCTTTTAATTAGAAATGCAGAGCTAGAGAAAAACTCCAAGAAAAACTACAAAATATTTAGGTTTTTTTTTCGACATGCATAAATTATAACAACAGCCTGAAACTTATCTACACTATGAAAATCGAAATCAAGGAATTATGTGGAAAATTTTATAATTTATCCGGTTGAAGTCCCACCGTTAATTAGCGCTTTTTCTGTAGTATCCCAGTGATAGCTATATCCCAGCGCTGATTGATGTGTAATTCAGAGTTTTTGCATAGCTTGCGATATTTCATAGCTATTTCATTAATGATTCCGTAGAAAGCCAGCGCTTAAACTTTTTCAAACACAATCTAAAAGCTTTCAAATGAGAGTGTGAGTTGATAAACCCTTTAACTTGAGTTTAACTAAAGATTGGTTGCGCAGATGTTGCGGGAGCGAACCGTGGTAGTATTCTATTTGTGCTCATTTTGATAAGTTTTCATTGCTGCTTCATCGCTGAAAATTAGCAAAACTAGCGATTATTTATCGATAAAATTTACTATTGTGGCGATGAGCATCGATAATTCATCGATGGCGATCGCTGTTTTTTTTTTAAATTTTTTAATCAAATAGGCCCTCCTCTTTTTCTAGTAGTCCAAAAATCTTTTTATGAAATAATTTTTAAGTTGGTAATATTGCAAGAATTTTGCAGGATACTTGCAACATATCATCTCTCTTTCAATACTCGAGCGAGTTTTCGCAAGATAACTTCTATCTTGCGAGATCTCGCAAGATAAATCTCATTTGCAAGAATCTTGCAAAATATTGCAAGATAACTTTGCTTGATCGACAAAGGAATAAGCGATACAGCTTCGAAAATTTGAACTTACCTACCCACAAAACCTAGCAGTTTTCATTCAAAAACCCCCAGTTTTGTCAAAAAAATCCTATGCACGCCACTGTTTGAGATACCAAGTCCACAAATCTCGTTTGCATTTGTGCTCGCATGCATCAAACAAAATTCAAAAAGTAAAACTTTGGTTTTAAACGTTTAAATGTATGAAGTATTTGGGGTTGAACGTTTTGTTTTTAAGCAACAATTTGAATATAAATCACTCAAATTGCTGCATAGAAAGAAGACCGATAATATGTTATAATGGGTGGTAATTTTGAGAACTATTTGAGTAGTGCATGTATCAAACTTGAGGACTATGATGCAGAATATAGTCACTTCAATTTCAATATTTGCACATGCTACTAACATACCTATTTAATATCTAAAAATAGGGGTCAAAATATGGGGTCAAAAAACTGATTTATTAGTAAATCGAGAGCAAACTAATCATATCAGAAAACGGAAAAAAATATTACTCAATTACTTCAACACATGAATTGAAGACTGCGATCTATTCAACTAGACATATTTTTTCCCTAAAACAAACAGACACAAAAAATGTATACACTTGCCATGATCCCAGAAGTTTTCTAATTTTTGCACTAGACTAGAAAACAAAACAACCAAAGATTTTTTGATTCCGCGGTGGACGTAATATTTTTAATATTTTTATAGAAGACATTTTGATTGCCAAAAGCTGAGCATAAAATGTGACCCAGTTATTATATGGGAAGTTTAGAAATGAAAAAGAACAACGCAACATCAGTTTAAATAGATTTCAGGGCGCGTATATTTTTTCTCCATTAACCCATCTAAATTTCAGGTAACCGAATCAACTATCATACTTCCATGCTGGAACCTGCAAGCATTCTAAATTTAAAAGCCCTGAAGATATTTGAAATTTCGATTTTTGGTTTTTGTCTATCTATAAAATATCAAGTGATTTGAAATTTTTGACAATACCAGCTGGAAACTTCTATTCCGGGCCTAATTTTTTGAACTTTATTATGATTGATGTTAAATGCGAGTACCGGACCTTTTTTTCACAATTGGCGTGTGTGAAGCTAACATCATAATTAAGCAGAAGAAAATGAAGCTGTTGTTTCTTACCAGCACACAAGCATCAGAAACGCAGAAGCACAAGAAGTGGACCAATAATTATTCGAGCCAACCATCTTGATCAAAATCACTTATTTCTATGAACAAGCAGTATAATGCGTACTTTCCTGAAACTACAAATACTTCTAAAGCAAATATGTTCGTTATCTACATTTTATGGTGGCCAGGCAATGAGCAGAATGGTCTAAGAGCAGAAAAATTTAGAGCCGAAAAACAAATTTAACGAGCAACCAAATATTAAGTTCGTCGGATCTACTCAACAACCCCTGCGTTCAATAAAGGGAAATTACTACGCAGAATTTTTGACCTATCATATTGCAGTAAGATTCGAGCTTTCAATTATGATATTGGGGTTTCTTAAAGTTAGTTGCTATTTTGATTAGCCCGTATAGCTCAATTTTAAGACACCTTCTCTGAGACCACTCTGTTTATTGCTCCCATCCATATTTTTGATTTTCGTAGCACTTAATAATTAAAGCTTCCTAAAGACAAGAAAAACACGTCAGTACGACACCTACTGCGAAGTTGAATTAAATAGGTTTTCGAAGTCAAAAATCCGCCCCTCCCCCTCCAGAAAATCATAGACCTGAATCATGGATAGTCTACGTAAGGTTAACGTAATTTCACCAAAAATATATGGGATCAAAGATCTTGTCAAGATGTAAATAGTATCCCCACTCATGGAAATTTTGGCAAGTTTTCCAATCTTGACTGTTGTTAATCGAGTATTTTTAAGCTAATTTTTCAACTATTCTAATCGTAACTTGGAAATCGATGTTTTTGGCTTCCAGAAAGTCTGATTCGTTACACCAAGGTAGGTTTCTTGTCAAATTGATTTGTGGGTTTCACAAAATCTGTT